TCATAGGGTTAATGCAATAGTCAGTGTCACTACTAGATCAATACTCTATTTACTTCACAATCAATCCGAGTATAAAGTAAGGCCAAAATTTCAGTTTACATACTGCATAAATCCTTTTAGTCATATTGAAATTTCAAAGATTATTTTTTGTCAGTAACCTTTGGTTTTATTTTATTTTGATATCCATATTTTATTATAAAAAAAAAGAGTTGAAATCTTAGGTTGATCAGAATACGCACTTTGTTCGAATAAAAACAGGTTATTTTATGGATTCACAGGTGGATTATATCACTTATTTCAATGGGTCAAACTCACAATAGTTGTGTTCACGTTACACAAAGTACGGGCTAAGATTTAAGCTGATTTAGGCTTATCTAGCATATTTGCATTTCGGCTAGACCCAATTGCGTCCACGCACAGGGAGGGCCAGTCGTTAGCACGGGCTAAGGGGTGCCATTAGTCGGTAAGCCACTATTTACGAACGAAAAATGGATGACATGCGCGAGGTTCTATTTCTGCTGCTGGCATGTTTCGTTCTAATTTTGAAGCGACGTGCACAGGAACGCGAGAGAAGACGGACCCAACTTATTTGGATGCACATAAACAGTATACAACGGGCGTAACAGAATACAGCATTTTATTAATGCATGTCGTAGACAGCGAACCAAATTTATTTTGTCTACGATTGGAGCTGCTGTACGCTCTACTACAGTGACCCGATTAGTGTGGAAGTGAGCGCGGAGTAATGACTGGTGGAATAGTGTCGTTATACGAACATGGGACAACTTTCACACCCAAAGGTCGCCGCAGAGGGCGCTTAGCCCTGGGCTAAGCGTTCGCGCATACTTCGTTAGCCCGTGCTAAGGTCTAGACCGCGTCTTAAATTCGGATCAGATTTAACCCGTACTTAGCATTCCTTAGCCCGTGCTAAGCGTTCACGCACGTTTTCTTAGCACGGGCTAAGGAATTTGACCTCTTAGCCCGTGCTCAGGAGCTGTGCATGAACGCAACTAATAATCCCTCTTTGATTCCCATACACATTATTCTGTAAATTTCAATTATCCAATTCAATCATAGAACAATAAGTTAGTTTAACTAATAAAAGACAGTTATGTTTATTCTCCGGAGCAAACATTTAGGCATTTTCACAGAACACTCAAAAAACGTGTTTTTGGCTAGTTATTGAGACACCTCTGAACAGTATAACATGATGTGCAACATATATCAATTTGGTTCTTCGGGATTGTATTATAGTTTAGACTTGTATCATAGTGGTGCACGTCTTAGCAACATGGAATGTTTTGTTATGTAGGACATTTTTCTTTAGTCAGAAAACATAATAAATTAGTAGCAGAATGTGAAGTGATGCTGTTTTACACATATAATAAGTAGATGGAAATGAATTGGTGATATCAACAAAAGATGTAAATGTTAACATTCATACTAGAAACCTGCTAGAATGCTGCCCAGAACTCATAAACACTGTAATAATCTCTTAAATGTATTTGATGCCAGCCCTAAATAGCTTCTTGTGCTCAGTGTTTTATAAGGCTACCTCCACAACATGTACATGTAACAGCAAAATTCTGCACAGTCAAAATCAATACAAAGTAAGTATGAAATGTCATCTCAAGTAAATTTGAAATTCAATGATCTTTTAATGGTTAACCAAGTGAATCTAATTGGAAGTGTGAAAATTAAATATAGGCAGAAATGTTAAAAAAAACAAACAAATTGCATAATAAACCAAAATGGCTGCCAGTTGGTCATCTTGGATTGTATAAGGACAAAGAACAACTTTGGTTAATGTCCAGGAACATAAATATCTGTTTAAAAGGAATGGGACAGCATGAATATAAGATACATATTATAGGCAGAATTGTACAAAAAAACATTGATGATTTTGTAAACAGAATGACTGCCATTTTATGATAAATTTTTGCATTATAAATTCATAAACAAAAGTGATCAAAAAGAAGGTGTTTTTGCTGTAGAAAATGTCAATTACGACAAAATTATGGTTGTACTTCACTAGATCAACAGTAGTTATCAATATTCCAAGTTTGAACTGAAAATGTCAGCGCAACATTGAGAAACTGCTCTGCACACATGCTTATATCACTTTTAATCAAATATATGCACATACCATCATGTATCAATAAACTTCTGAGAAAATAGAAACCAGACAACAAACAGACGGGCATACAAATCACAATTCATAAGCCCCATAAACTGTACATCCAGTTGGAGACTAAACATTGTTCATTTGTAATCAAATCATGTACTAGTACATACTGAGTACAAAAGATCAACTGTGAATAGTCAATTCAACAGCCAATGTAATTACCTTTTGAGAAATGAAGCATTCCAACAGGCAGCTGAGCTAAATACATCTAGTAAATCTCTTGGAAGATTAGGTATATTGTTAGGTAAGTGTAATAACTCTTGTATAACGTCAATATTCATACGGAGGATTCCTTTACCAGGAAATGTTTCTCTAAAATCTAGTGGCTGTTTCTTGTCCTAATAAGAAATTTTACAGCGGAGATCATTGAGTTGACACTCTAACATGTATTAAAGAATATAATTAATCTGTCAATAATATCAATTTTAAGAGTGAAAAAGTGCAAAAAAGAGAGATATTGATGAGTCTCTACAAAGTCACTGATATTTTACCTGATATTTTGTACTATACACAAAACACTGATCACCTCCGGTGAATATCCTCTGTATTACAGATGAACTGGTATTGACGCTAGTTGCATCATATCCAACCCAGGGTCCATATATGGCTGTTGGTGCTTGTCTTCTATCGGTAGTGTCATTTCCTAGTTGGCCATTGGCACCCAACCCGAATGAATAGAGTTTACCACTGGCACCAACATGGGCAAGAGTATGTCGCCTAGATAAAAGAAGATTCATAAATTAAGACATTCTCGGAAATATTGAGATTCATTCATAAGATGCATACTTTAACTTTTCCATCACCAGGACCCTCTTTTCATCACAAATTCACAAAATATCGGTAGTCCTGTTTATGTTCTGCACTTTCCTTTAAAAGATTATCACAAAAATAGGCAAATTTTTTGAGTAAAAACTGAAAATTGACTCAAATTTTGTCTGTAACATGTGATGTAGCTCCAAAATCAGGGTTCTTTTCCAGACATATTGAAGAATATAAGCAAATGTTAAAATTCAAAACCAGACATTTATTAACATTTTCTTAGAGGTATGTACAAATTCACTGTTAATATAGAATTCTGTGAATATGAACAATCGCTAACAGTACAGCCAGAACGCCAGAGTTCAGAACATCTTGTTGGCCATCATCTGTGGCTGCTAAAGTTTTGTTTTCATTCTAATCAAAACACCTTGACTTTCCTCTGCCTCCATTGCTAACCATCATTGACACTTGAATAATTTACATGCAAGTACATAGTTTTTATGGAAAAACATCTGAAATACTTGCACATATTTTAATATGTTTTGTCTTGAATAAATTACGTTTATTTACACTGCATTGTTTTTTCATGAAAATTGTAAAAGTAGTGTCGACCACAGAGAGGAAATATAAAATAACTCCAATAATATGATTTAAATTTCATTTGGACACTGCGGTAACATGTGTCATTTTCACTCTTATAGAAATAGAAATCAGTGGCTGTATAATAATACTCATTAATTCAACCACTTGCCATGTTACCCAATCTGGGTAAAAATACTTTGAATTATTTCAATGACTCAAAATAGAACTTACCTTCCACAGCCAATCTGGGTAACAATACTACCCATTAATTCAACCACTTGCCGTGGGTTTATTTCATTATTACTTGAATTATGGCCAAGTTGTCCATGTGCACCGCAGCCAAATGTAAATACTCCTCCTTCCTACAAGCAATGTCATATGTATACCATTAAATGCAAGCTAATGCATAGTACCAATAGTGAGTCTATCCCATACTAAACTATAGTACATGTACATATTGTTACTCAATCAATGATCTACTACATGTGGTGAAGCTGATGGTCATATTCAATTAAGATAGAATGCTACTAGTGAGTTTTTACATATGTGCATATTTTAGTGCCTATGGCAGTAGCAATATTTTGTGTCAAAATAGGTTTATAATTATTCATTTTAATGTTTAGTCAACAGTATGCAGACTTTTTTAATTCACTGTCAATCAAAAAGTACATTTTTTTTTCACCATAAGTTACCAAGCAAAATTTAAAGATATTGAGATATACATGTATATGTATCTGTTCCAAAGGAAACAGTGGTAAAATGCCCTAAAACAGACAAAACATGCTATTTTGACTTAATTTCATACATCGATTTTCTTCAAACCGAGAATGGTGACCCCATATTTTTATTCCATTTTCATCATTATCAATGACATGAAATATCAAATATGTAAAAAAAAGAAAGTGACAATATTTTTACTTCTGTGTAGCATTCTACCTTAATATAGGTGCTCCTAATTTACTAAAAGTTATAATTTTGGAAATGCTGATTCTTTTGATTTACAGACGAAAATATTGAGTTTTGTAACTCATTGTTTTTGTAACATGATGTTCGAATCTCAACGTCCTTAACTCAAACAACTGAGCATCTCATAATAAGTATGGTACAGCTCAAGAGATAAATTCAAAATCCTTTGTATTGATATTTGAATTGCTATATATTCTTAATATGTCATGAAACAGCATAACTCAACTTTGAAGTAATCCTAAACAACCAAATTTGTAAATGTTGCAAATGTATGGGTAATTTTGTTACACTGTTCAGGAGAGTCTCAACAACAAGCCCAAAGTACAGTTTTTTGTACAGAGTTTTTGATTGTTGTCTTCACTGGTTGTGGTTGACAGGTGGTGAAAATGCCTGGATGTTCACTCCTCAGAATAGACATGCAATGTCAAGTTTTGATACCTTAGTAAATGCCACTGTGTGCTCTTCACCACATGAAATGTATACAACTTTACGTGACCTTAAACTCTTTAACTGATGTGGAAATTGACGATCTGTAGGAAAATCAAAGATCATATATAGATGACAAAAAGTAGAGTATTAATGAGAAGCTGCTTCAATCAACTATCAAGCATTAAGTCTTTTCAAAATCTTTCATAAATGCTTTGTCATATTTTACAATAATACACTTTGTATTTTTAGGAAATACATCTACGCATAATACCTTGAAGTATCTTATAAAAAGAATGATGTACATGTATGTTAGTTGCACCATCACAGTTAGACTAAAGAAATGGTTAGTCAATCATATTGTTGTTTCTCTCTAGCATATGAAATATAATAAAAGAAAGCTTAGAAAGAACTCCCGTGTGCTGAGAGTATTGGAGACACATTAATTCAAAATTACTTGAACTTGAGATATTGATGGAAATGCAGAAAACTAATTATGCAAACAAGGTAACTAATATGAACACATTTAAGTGTAAAACTAATAAGGTCTGCGCAATGTAAAAGTAATAAGATCTGCGTAATGTAATATCTATGTACCAAGTTTCATTGAAATGTGATTAGAACCAAAAAATTATTAATTATTGTGCTAATTAAAAGAATTAATATGAACAGATTTTAACCCAAAATTAATCAGGCTGTCTATTGTCCTAGAGCATTTATGTACCAAGTTTTATTCAAATGTGATGATCAATACTTGAGATATCAGTATTAATTAATTATGTTAATTAGGTGATTAAGAAGCATAAATATTTACCAAAACTAATATGGTATACAGTCCTACACATGTAGGTTCATTGAAATGTGATGAGTGGTTCTTAGGACAAATTAACTAATTAAGCAAATTAGTACCGTAGTTAATATGCACAATAATTTATCCTAAAATTAATCAGGTCTCTGCATAGTCCTAGAAGATCTATGTCGCAAGTCTCATTGAAATGTGATGATTAGTACTTGAGATATCAGGTGAAGGGCTGAAAATTAACTAATTATGCTAATAAGGTGATTAATATGCACAAATATTTCTCCAAAAACTAATTAGGTCTCTGCACAGTCCTCAAGTAACTATGTACCATGTTTCATTGAAATTTGTTCATTACTACTTGAAATATCAATAGCTGAAAATTAATTAATTATGCAAATTAGGTAATTAATATGTACTGATATTACCCTAAAAACTATCAAGTCTGTGCAGTCTCATATGACATCTATGTACCAAGCTTTATTGAAATGTTATGATTAGTACTTGAGATATCAGTGGAAAAGCCGAAAATTGATTAATCATTATGCAAATTAGGTAATTAATATAAACAGATTTTTACCCAAAACAAATCAAATCTGCGCATTAGTTCAGAGCATCCATGTGCCAAGTTTCATCAAAATCCAATGAGTGGTTCTTTATATATCAGTGGAACAGTCATGGAACAGCTAAAAATCAGCTAATTATCATGCAAATTAGGTAATTAATATTCATAGATTTTTACCAAAACCTAATCAACTCTGCGTATTATCCCAGAGCATCTATGTACCAAGTTTCACCAAAATATGATTAGTGGTTCTTGAGATAACGGTGGAACAAAAAAAGTGACATACATACATACAGACATACAGACAGGGTAACTGCAAAGACTCCCTTTTGTGCTTCGCACACGGGAGTCAAAAATTATCATCACTCAGGCAGTATGTGATGGCATTGGTTTGTGCAAACTTTGCGATATTCTGGTGATAACCCCAAATATGTACTATTATGTACATTACCACATGTATTATCATGGAGCTAAACAATCAGCCTCTCGACTGAGATATCTCTGCTGTTAGCAATGTACATTTCAATTAAGGAATTGAAAACAAGCAGCCTATCGGCTGAGATAGCTCCGCTGTTAGCAATGCACATTTCAATTAAAGAACAGAAGATATCATTAGAAAATGAACAATATGTATAGTATCAAGCAATGGGACTTGCTGTTTTCAAAAAGAATTCAAAAATATCACTTTTTACCAAAAATTACAAAAATATTCATCAAAATTAGAGAATTAAAGATATCATTACAAAATGAACAAATCTGAGAGAGGTCCACATGTAGTACCTATATATGTAATATCAAAGCACTTGCACTTGTGGTTTTTAACAAGAAGTCGAAAATATCACTTTTTACCAAAAATGACAAAAATATTCACCAAAATTAGAGAATTAAAGATATCATTACAAAATGAACAAATCTGAGAGAAGTCCACATGTAGTACCTATATATGTAATATCAAAGCAATTGGACTTGCAGTTTTTAACAAGAAGTCGAAAATATCACTTTTTACCAAAAATGACAAAAATATTCAACAAAATTAGAGAATTGAAGATATCAACATGAAATGAACAAATCTAAGAGAGGTCTACTCAAGGTACATATACACCAAGTATCAAAGCATTCAGGCTTGTAGTTTTCAAGAAGAAGTCGAAAAAGTAAATCATTGATACGGACGACGACGGACTATCACTCATATGATAAGCTCCGCTCGACAAAGTCGACAGCGGAGCTAAAAATGAACAAATCTGAGAGAGGTCCACCTGTAGTATTTACATGCATGTGTATAATATCAAAGCAATTAGACTTGCGGTTTTCAACAAGAAGTCGAAAATATCACTTTTTACCAAAAATTACAAAAATATTCATCAAAATTAGAAAATTAAAGATATCATCACAAAATGAACAAATGTGAGAGAGCTGTGCCCAAGGTACATATATAGCAATAAGAATTGTAGTTTTCAAGAAGAAGTCGAAAAAGTAAAAAGTTGACATGAATGATGACGAACAATTACTCGCATGACAAACTCCGCTCGACAGTGGAGCTAAAAAAAGGGAGATCCATGGATTGTAAGGATATTAAAGTACTACATGTGTAATATGTCATTATAATAGAAAAATGGTCACAAACATGAAATATAATGTAAAACAGTACTATCGGCACTTTATTGAATTTATTTCAAGGCACAAACTAACAGAACAAAATTTTGTTTTCACCTTAACTGCCATGAACAACAACAGACATTAAAATTTTTTTAAATCCAAATTTGATGGTCATTGGTCGACATTTTGTATTGATTACACATTGACCTTGGGGGGTGTGGAATGGGGGTGGGGGTGCTGGATGGGGGCTGAGGTTTTGGATGGGTTGAACACTCAGACCAAACTGAAGTATTGAATAATACTGTTCTAATAACATAGTGAACAGTACTTGACTCGCACATGGCAACTGCCGTTATATTTCAATTATAATTTACATATTGTACGTACATCAATAGAAAATGAAAATAATTCTAAATGCTTTTATCTACTTAAATTAGTCTGTGCTTGACAAATCTACTATATCACTGAGCTGCTATAATACTTGTGTAATACATTTAAGAAAACAACAATAAATTACAAACATCAATGTATTGTAGATGTTCACCAAGTTTTATTTTATTTACGCTATATTCCTCTGATAACTAAATGTCCTAAACTTTGTTTTGAATATGTGCAGTTAAACATATCTCTGCAACAGAAAAGCTGTTGGCGTTAAACCCAGTGAATGTTACATTAGTAAATGCACAAAATACTGTCAATCATTTACTTCACCGCTAGGAATCTTGAAGACTCTGTGCCAGAGGACCTCAACAAAATTGTCACTACTACAAAATTTGATTGTGATTTTTACTGACTCATGAAAATCAGGAAAATTTGTCTCTTTGGAATATAAAGCAATTTTAATATAGTATCACACTAACAACAAGTATTGAATAACTGAAATAGCAGTGAGATGTGTTTCTTATCAATTGTGTTATATTATTTAATTCATGAAATATTGAAACAAATTGACCAAATAAAGTAAAAGCACTTAAACAACTGGAAAATTGTTTTTTTTTGTTTGAAAAAAATTAATTTGTAATGCAAGTAAATTGAAATGAAACATCTACCACATTGAAATGGCTATAGATGCTGTTCATCTACATCTAGGTATTAGAAGAGAAGTGAACATAGAAACACACACAAAAATGGCCATATTAAATTATGGACTGTGTGATCTTGTTCATGACACACACTAATATGTTAAAATACCTTAAAAAATTATGAACACTTTTAAATAATTAGTTTTTAAAAATGGTACAAACTTTTTGAACTGGTCAAATTTTTGGTATTAAAATCATCGATTACAAAAACATTAGATGGCATATATTGTGCATCATTTGTTTGTTTGCAAAAAGCAAAATTTTCATCTAAACCCCATTATTCGTGATATTCATGGCAAATCTGAGTAATATTATAGAGAACTAAACTAGCACAGTTCAGTGATTGGCCAGAATTCTAGAAGCCAACAAATAATAAAATTTTAAGAGTAGGCAAAATTTTTACCTAATTATGATTTTTTACGAGTACATGTATATTTATAATTCCCAAAAAATAATGACAACAACTCCATTGACTCCAGACAGAAGCCCTCCCCCACAACATTGACTCCAGACAGAAGCCCTCCCCCACAACAATGAAGCCAGACAGTAGCACAGATGTCGTGGTTTTAAATAAGAGAAAACAAATAAAAATTAAATATTAAAAGGAACATATATTTTGTCATGATTTTTAATCCATGCAAATACTGAGCCAAAATTTCAAAGTGGTAAACACTTGGTATATATTTATGATAACATGCAAACAGCTGGAAAATAAATTTAAGTTTGAGCAAAACTTAATTTTTCAGTTGTCAAGTAGTTGTTTTCATATGCATACATGGAAATTGGAATATTTTGCCCTATGTGTTTACTTCATTTGGTTTGAACCATCATATTGCATGAATTCAAAAGTATGATAAAATTAATAAAAAAAATGTGCCCTTACAATAAAATTCAAATTAAAGTGAAAGTAAATTGTGGTGACTAACCTTGCCTCCATTTGGAGTTTTCCAGTCACCTTTGCGTACCACGCCAAATGAACCATCGCCAAGTTTCTCGTACAGCGTCAGCTCACTGTCGCTAATCAGACACGTCAGCGACTGTGACTGCATGATGTCAACGGGTCGTCGTGGAACTGTTTTACGGTGCACTGCAGTATCCTCTTTCTTCCCACCTGTAAACACCTACATAATGACAAATCAGGTCAAAGGTCAAACTTGAAGAATTCAATTCATCAAAGACAGTACTATTCAATGGAAACACCGAGCCGAGTGGGAGATGTGTCTTATCATTGTCTGCAGAAAGATATCCTAAAAGTAATGTCCTCCTACGAGAATGAACCTCACCCCCTCGTTTGCCAATAAAATGCAGAATCTTTTCCTGTTCATTGAGAATTGAAATGACGAATGATGACAATGAACTTGAGATCTACGGGAAAAAAAGCAAGCGCTCATAGAATTAACTTCCCATACCTAGAGTTTTACTTAAAAAATAATAATACCACAGAAATATTAGCAATAGAATCAGGAGACCGATCTACCATCTTTATTATAAAATAAGTTTGTCAAATATGGTAATTACCGGTACATATAGATTATGATGCTGAATGTTAACTCCAAAAAGAAATGGAAGGGTCACATGGATATCCAATTTTGAGTCACTCAACTAAATATAAAATAAAAGTAACTTACACGTAAATGACGTTGAAACCACATAACGTACAACCAATAGAATTACATTGGTACATGTATGAAAATCATCAAAAAGATTACCAAATAGGAAAAACAAATCAAGGCAAGTTACAAAGGGAAGAAAGTGTACTCTACATAGACAGCTTGTAGATGCAGAACCTTGCGACTTTCGTAAGTTCACGGTGATGCAAACCTGAAAATATTGACTCACTTTCTAAGCTTTGTCATGACCATTAACAGTCTACAGAATGTATAACATACACATGTGTGGGCTTTTGCTTGACATTGTCATGAAAAGAAATTAATAGAGTGGAACCAAAAGACCATTAATTACTTCAGTGTACCTTTTTTACATGCTATTTTCTCTACTAAAAGGTGAAAACAACAAGCACAGTGACAAATTTACTGTATTACAATGTAATTCCATTTGTAGAATACTGTAAAGGGGGTAATTATTCACTGGGTTTTAATTTAGCTTATTTCGCTGACTGGAAAAATGCGCTAAATTAAAACACAGTGAATATGTAAAATTTAGCATAGAACACATTATCTAAATGACGAAACCGTGAATTTAAAACCCACTGAATATGCCTGAGATGGTAAATCAGTGAAATTTAAACCCAGTGAAAATTAGTCATTTTACAGTAGCATACCAATGTCAAAATAACAGAATTGTATCAAAATAAATCATGTTTAATAATTTTGTAAACAACTGATGAATACACTGTATTTCTGTGAGATAC